TATCACTAGCTTAATTTAGTGAGATTTTGAGTTTAAATTAAGCACAGCTCCACTTGAGTTGCTCAAGCAGAGGTAAAAATGGAAAGATTAAAAATAAAAAGAGCCCAAAATTAACAACAAAGGCACAAGGTCAGATTGCTAAAGATGGACCCACGTGAGCATTGCCGGGACTGGCAAGGACCAGCCCTTGCTCTCGGCAACACGCCTGGCTTTTAAATCCCTTTAAGGAGGGCTGGTGATGGAGACAGAGCCAGCTTTTACAGTGGCAGCCCAGCTGGGGATCAACACTGTAAAAACAAGCACGTAAAACTCCAAATCAAATTGCATTCGCAATGAAAACATTATCGTGACGAGCAGCCCCGGCAGAAGGCATCCCTCCGGCCAGAGCTGCTGCCTGACTCCCGCCGCATCGCGCCGATGATGTCATTTCTCTCCCTGCTGTAGGAGCTGTAGTGAATGAAATTCAGTATCTGTGTCTCTTCACACAAGTCCGCCTCACTGTCACTGAGCTCGTAATTAAAAGAAAAAAGGGAGGGGGGAGCAGGGAAGTCAGACTAGCGTGTTTCTTTCTCTTTCTCTTGTCCTTCGTCAGGGATTGCAGTGGGTTTGCTTCCAGGAGCTGCCTCTTGCATCATTGTGAGCCACCTCTCACCTCCCCTGGAGCCTTTGGGGCTCCCTTTCCCCAGGGGGGATGCTGCAGCCCAGATTGGCATGAAGCAGGGAACGGGTCCTGGGGCTGTTGTTCCTGCACTGTAAATATCTGTGTTACAGTTTCTGAGGTCCACAGCAGGCACCGCCTCGGCTTTCAGTAGGGATCTGCTTTGATCCCACATTTCTGGGGCACATCTCCCCTGGGCAAGCAGAAAGGAGTTTTCCCCATAAAAAAAAACCTGCAGCAAACTGGAGACTGCTGTCCTGCATGCCAGGGTCAGGAACATGCCAACCCAGCTGCTGCCAGGGCATCAGCAAGTTTTTCTCTGTAATAATTACTTCTGTGAGCCATGTAAACTAGAGGAAATCCAACTTTTTCCTCTTAATGAGCACCCCTGCCTGGCTTCCCATCAATACACCAACAGGAGCTCTCTTTTTTTCATTTATCACCATCGATGTTCTGTTCCTTGCTGCATTCCCAGCATTTTTTAACAGAGGTCTTTGCTTAAGGATACTCCTATGGACTCCCAGAGGGAGGGGAGTCGTTAACAGAATAATCAAATAAGCCATCCCAAAGCACAGACGAGGCATAGGGAAGCTCGTGTGGGGAAGCTGGAGCTGTGGGAGTGATGAGGATGGGCAATGCTGGGGGGCACCATGCTGCATCTCACCGTCACGGGGCAGCCCGCAGAAAGGAGATTTGCTTCAGGAATAAATTCAGCCCTGACCCAGACACTAAGGAAGATCCATGCCTGTAAATACCTAGGCCTCTCCTTCTGACTTGATTGCTGTTTTAGTTAATTTACCCTAATGAAGAAGAGTGTTTCGGTACAAACAGCGGTTGCTAACAAGCGCGTGGTGGCAGCAGCAAGCGCCAGCCGGCGAGGCGGCAGCCGGGGAGAACCGACGCAGGCTGCCTGACGATGGAGAGCTGTGCAGCTCCGAAACCCGGCTGCAGCTCCCCAAGTCAGTCTTGCCCCCTCCGAGCCACAGCTCCCTTCATCTTCCCAGGTTTATAATGAGGAGAGCAGATAAAAAAAATCCACAAGTTAAAAATCTCTTTCCTTCTCCCTGTGCGCTTCTAGCCGGGCAGGGTTAGTGCAGCGGAGCAGAAGCGAGCTGTCCCTGCCCCATAGAAATGATTGCCATCCACAAGATTTATTTTTTTTATGGTTCCAAATGGAGTAAAAGGATGTTTTCCAAGCTACAGAGCAACAATCTTGCTTAAACATCTGGAATAGTTTCAAATGATCACTTTAATTGAATATAGCAGCAATTATAGAGTTACTTAATTTCAGATGTTTTGGAGGATTTCCCCCCCCCCCCTTGGTAACTTAGGAGGGACCATATGAATCGCAGGGCTGCGTTGGGCTGCCATGCAGGAGGACTTGGTCCCAGCCCAGCCCCAGGCAGCTGGAACAGCTCAGCTGCCTAAATCTGGGTACATCACAAATCCACCAGCCAGTTCCTGCTTTAAATTTAAACCATTTAAAATATTTACGTTCTTTTATTATTTTAGTAGTTTAAAATTATTCCTAGACAGGGCTGGCATGTCTTCCCTTGAGGTTCATTGCAATGCTGGCGAGAAAGTAATTTCTGTACCCTGATGTGTCTTGAGAGTGAACTGGGCTGTCTGAATCAGTCATGCTCAACTCTCTTCGGTTTGAGGGACGCACTAATTTTTCCAGTGTGGATGCAGATCCCTCCAGCAAGACCTGAGCACATGCCAGCCTTCCCAAACCCTTCCTCAGCCACCCACGGACACCTCAGACAGGATGATGAAAACAAGCTGATCTCAAACCACATCAGTCCCATCCTCCTTAAAACACAGGGCAGGACTTCCCATGCCAAAACACAAAGCTGGTGATGGGACCCAGGACCAGCCCGCAGCCTTGGCACCTCCATACCACACCATCCTACCTCTTCTGGCGGCCCAGTGGCTCCTCTGTGACAAGCACAGCCTTCTCAAAAGCATCCAGAAATGGTATAAAGACATCAAGAGACACAAATAAATTCTTCCCAGTGTTCATCTCTTCCCGTAGTTAATCACCCAACTTTTATTTGTCCAGCCTCAACTCCCAGCCTTTGATTCTTGGCATTGTTTTCTTTACAAGAGTGAAGAGCTGACTCTTCAGTATCTATTATTTTCACCTTATGATGGGTTTTTGGTATGAGTAAACCAAGGATGGGTTCACTTGGGAAAGATATTTTCTTACAGTACAAAGTAAGTGAGAAAATTGCACAGAAATAAGAATGTCTAAGTTGTAACAGTTCAAAAACCAGACAGATACTTCTGCCCAACTTCTTGGCTAGTTCAAGTCAGTTTGGTGTAAATTTAAGCGTAGCAACCTGAGTCTTTCAAACTCAGCTAGGAGCATCCATAAAGTCCAAGGAAAATAATTAAATGAAGGATAGGAAGTGGTTGGGTAAAAGTACGTCAAGACCTCTTTTGCAGCCCACGCTTCAGAGATGTTGTACTTTGAATAAAAGGAGGATAAATTTTGGGTGATCACTTTGCTTAGAGGAATTCTTTTCTCCATGACTGAAACATAGCTATGGCAAAGCTGAGCCATTCTGGAGGTGCCAGCACAAGGACACGCTGCCCCGAGGACTGTCCTGTTTCATCCCAGCGGGTGCAGGCCCCCTGAGCTCTGGCTCAGCTGCCCTCTTCCAACACAGACCTTCATTTAAACCAGAAAGTAAAACCCAATACAAGATCCAGCCCATGCTGCAAACCAGCTAACTCCCTGAGCAACCCAAAAGCCAAACGCAGTTTTCATTCTCAACCCAAAGACGCACATTTGCTCAAGACCGGTAACATTGTTTCCTTATTATTATTCTTAGCTAGGACGTCCAGCCTTTCAGCTTGTGGTTGCTCGAGGTAAAAAAAATCAGCACAATTTGAACTGTGATCAACCAAAACATGAAATGAATGCTGTGTTTCATTTCATAAAGTCCAGCAACACAAGGCTGCCTGGTAGATACAATGTTTTGGATGTAGAAACGGACAAATAACTGTTTTGTCTTCAAGGTGATTAAAAAAAAAAATAAAATTTCTGTAGTAACAGGAAAGAAGCTGCCAGGCTAAAATTCATATTTAATAAACTATTTTTCCTGTTCTCTTATATTAGCATGCAGTGATCGTAGATTCTTGTTATTTTGCTCAAAATCAAGAAGTAATCACATGTCACTAGGAAGTCATTGCTTCTGGTGTTAAGAGCTCACCTGAGAACTACAGTTTGCTAAAAAACAAGCAGAAAGGGAAGTGGGAAATGGCAGTGGCTGAATAGCTCTTGAAAATATGACCTAAGATGTAAAAGCACAGAGAAAGGGCAAAACAACATCATTTCATGATTTTTAAGACAATCTCATGATTTGGAATCATAAGACAATTTTAAGACAGTCTTAACTCTTCTGCCAAGCTCCTCTCAGCTTAACTATGTGGAAGCTGGACCCCAAAGCTTGTTGCAGTTACTCCTGAAATACATCTCTTAAAAAAAAAAAAAAGTCCTAAAAGAGCGTTTAAATAACTACAAAAGTGAAGTGATAAGTTAAAAAAAGTCTTTGGTGTGCTTTCTTTGTTCAACTACACAATTCACTGGGACCTGAACAAACAGCACCCTTTAAAACTTTCCCCTTTAGGATTCACCAGGATGATGGTAGCATGCAAAAAAAATAAAACACTCAGTATAGCCAGAGAGCTGTAACAGACAACTTCTATAGCACCAAAAAAACCACCTGTCCCTGTTACAGGCCAATGTGTGGTGATCAAGCCCCATAGCCGGTCGTCTCAACACGCTGCACGTAGAGCAAAGCTACGGCCTCCTTGCAGCGCAGGTGGAGCACAGCCATGTCCCACAGAAGGTCCCGGCATGGCGATGGTGGGCTGACACAGGAGCATCCCCGCTGCCCGAACATGCTGTGGTGTTGCCAAGCTTGGAGTTGGGCTTAATCCCCACCAGGGCCCCAAGTGCCACGGTGGCCACCAGCACCTCGCAGTCATACATCACCACCATCGCTTTGGGAGCAATTAAGCCAAGTAACGGGCACACGGAGAGTATCGGGTTCCTGCTGCTTGTGGGGCTGTATGAATAACTGGGGCTAAAACCACGTAAACAAACATAAAGGAGGACAGAGCATCCCTGTTGTACAAAAGAGTTGGGATGGAGAAAGGAGATTTCTCCAGAGAAGCAGCATTGGCGACATCAAAGATCCTCTCAGCCCCCAGGGCTCTCCCAGCACCGGAGCCCAGCCAGAAACCAGCTTGGGGACCCCTTTTTGTTCCTCCATGTGGAGCACATCCCTTTTTCTTTGCCATTCCAGTTAAAAAGCGTTCTTCTCTCTTGCAGCTGGGCCGCCAGCACAGGAGGGAGATGCAGCCACAGCCCTGAGCGGGTGCTGCCAAAACCGTCTGTGACCTACCTCCGCCGAGCCCAGCACCAGCCATGAGTGGCTTCTTCTCACGCCTGGACCCACGGCGGGTGCCGTGGGGGGTGGCAGGCCATGCCCTGCGTGCCCGCGTCCTGCGCACCAAACCCGTGGAGTCAATGCTGGAGGGCACGGGGACCTCCACCACCCAGGGCACCAGGCTGGCCAAGGTCCTCACCACCCTCGACCTCATCTCCCTTGGCGTCGGGAGCTGCGTGGGCACTGGCATGTACGTCGTGTCGGGCCTGGTAGCCAAGGAGATGGCAGGGCCCGGGGTCATCGTTTCCTTCATCATCGCTGCCGTCGCCTCCATCTTGTCAGGTGAGTCGTGCGTGTGGGTTTTTGAGTAACGTGCCACCTCGTGCATCCTCTGGCTCCATTCATGAGTGGATTCCTGGCAGGACCCACGCTCAGCAGCACAAGCTACGAGGAGGTAGCAACTTCCCTGTAGACTAAAAAACCCTTTCACACTGGGCTTACCCAGCTCATGGGGCTCACTGTCTCTCATTGCCCAAATATCAGACCAAACCTTGCCCTGGGAGCCAGCAGCCCAAGCATAATTAGCCTGATGACTTGCTGACAGCTTCCCCAAGGATGGAGCCTGTGGTCAATATATTTTGAAACATTTGAGAGCTTTGCAGCGTGCGTCCCAGGCAGAGAGGATGACAAAACCACAGCACTGGAACAAGAGCACAGTGTGGCTCGTGGGAAACCCTGCTTCAACAGGAAGGGTATCGGTGGCTTGGGTAGCATCCGGGCCAGCTTTTGTTGTGGACATTGCTAACAGTTAAAAAAGTCCACAATTAGTGTTACAGCTGATTTTATTGGTTCCTGTTCACACAGGATCACTCTTTGAATTTCCAAACAAAAAACACAACAAACAAATGTGCAGAGAGAGAGGAATTATGTATTTTAGCGAAAAGCCGGTGAATTCCATCTCCTCCGTAGGAACCCAGCTGAGCATATGGCTTGAGCTGCGGTTTCCACATGAAGCCAGTACTGCTGGCATTTGTCCTTTCCAGATCAGTGCTAACACGATGATGTGATGTTCCTGCTCAGAGGACTTTGCATGCTGTGTCAGTCTGATATTCTGCTTTTATCCGCGGGTTGGATAAGGAAACTTGAGTAAATGGCAAAGGGCTTTGATAGAAGACAGGAACAGCAAACACAGCAAAATGACCCAGCTCAGCTTTTCAAGCCTCTGGATTTTTGTAGGGAGAGGTAGAAGCACATCATGCTCTTTCCCTGGAGGTTGCAGTGCTGCTCCATGGAGATCCCACCAAAGTCCATGCAAATTTGAACCCCCTACACCCTTGCAGCCCAGAGGGAAAACCCTGGCACGGCACGGGAACAAGTGTCACGCTCTCCAAAAAGCCACGCCAGGGAAAGATCCTAGCAATTCTGGCTGGGAATCACCACACTGACAGTCCTACCTCCCCACTCCCCAGGTAGACCCCAGTAGCAAGCCAGCTTGGACACATTTACCACTGGTTCGGTCCAGAACAAGAGCTGAGAGCATACAATGAGATCTGATGCTCATCTGAGATCCCAACACAACAAATGAGCCAAACTGCTCGCTTTTTAACCGAGGTGGTAAATAGCAGCAGTCTCTTTACCCTTTCCCACTGCCTGCTTTCTGTCCTCTACAAAGGTTTTGCTGGCCATGATGCAAACCAAGAGCAAACAGAACCTGGGTGGGTCTCATCTAACAAAAACATACTGTCCTCCAAATGGGGTTTCTTCACCCCAGACGTGAGCCCTGCCCCACGGCGGGGAGCTCCTCCTGCCTTTGCCCACAGGAGCCCACACCGCTTCCCGCTCAGCTTTCATGTCCGCTTGCTTTTGTAGCCCTGGGAAAGTGTTTTGCGAGGGATGCAGTGTTTTGATAGTCTCCTTGGCTGCTTCCTCACTTTGTGGTTGACGCTGCTGTTGTCTGTAACAGCAACACGTTTTTGGCAAGTAAAACCAAGCAAGCGTTCGGGAGCTGGATGGGCTATCGGGCTCATAAAGGACATTATTTCATCTCTCACATCATGATCACTCCTGGTGTACTGGACACTGAGTTCAGGCAAGCATGCACAGACAGATTTTAAGGAGTTACTCACAGTTTTAAGGCCAGATGGGACCACTAGATAGATCACCTGATTTCCTTTGTTGTATTGAAAATCACAGTCAGATCCCGCTGCCTGCACAGTGAACTCAAGAGGGTTTTGGCTAAAAAAGCCCGTTCCAGAAAGCTATTCAGCTCCCCTTAGGAGAAATCCATGGGTAAGTCCTGCCGAGCAGGACCCACCAGTGGGAAACCCCTCCACACCATTTAGCCTGGTTTCTGATAGGGATTTTTCTAATTTCATCTACCTGAAAAATTCCAGTTATGCCTTGCCCTAGGTTTAAGCAACGTGTGCCCCCTCAGGGTACTTAGAGGCACAGCATAAATGATTAAACTAATAAATTAAATGAAATCAATCTCTTTCATTCTCTCACTGAAGCACCTTTTATTCAGCTCTCAAACAGAAGCATTTGCCCAACTTCCCTCCACAAAACCTGCACCTCAGGGGACCCCACAGGCTCCCTCCATCACCTGCAACTGCCAGAACTCCCCACTCCCACCCCCTTGTCTAACCAAAACACCTTCCTGGCAAAAATCAGCAGTTTGCCTCTTGCCCAACCCCATTACCCTCTCCACAGCCTTTTCCACCGGCTGTTGCTTGTCCCTTTGGTGATCTCCTTTCCTAAAGTAATATGACCTTGTTGTTCACATTATGCAAACCCCTTAACTGTGAGCTCAGACCAGGGTCAGGTCCTTCCTCGTGATAGTTACCAGTGTGGGATAATTTTCTCTGCCACACAATCCCACAAGCTTTGTTGTCAGACTGTGGAAAGAAAGAAGAGACTCTCTCTAGTACAGGTATTGCTCTGCAACCCCAGCAATCCTTGATGGGGATCTCAAGCACCAAGACATGCAGTTTTGGAGCACATTGCCATCCTCTTACCCGGTACCCGTGTGGGAACAGGCTCAGCAACATCCAGAATGCACAAAGGAGCTGGGGAGAACTGAGCACGTGTCTCAGGTGCTGCCTGGCTGCAGGACAAGGGCCAGGATGAGGGGCACCAGCTGCAGCTGATCATGAGCTGATAGGGTGGTGCTGGGGAGATAAGAGTCCTTTTTCTAAGGAAGCTTTCTTTATGGAGCTGCCTTTTATGTATCTGCACACAGTGATCATGAAACACAATGAAGAGGCTCAGTGGCTTGCTGAAAATAGGATTTTACTGTACCTCTGCCTCGATAAATTAGGTGCTCTTGGTTAATGAAAGATGGTCCCTCTGGATTTCTTGTGTGGTAGCATGAATTAATTGGTGTTTCCTTCAGCGCTGCTGAAAGGCCCCTTTCTGAAGTCTTATTTCACCTGAAGCATCACTGCCGTCATGCCAGTGCCCTGGGGGATGTCTCCTGGTCCCTCGTGCCAGGCGGCAGCGGGTGGGTCAGCATCCGCACCGTGGCACCACCGCCCCGGCACACCGAGAGCAAGGCAGAAGCCAGGAGGGTGCACTGAGCTGCGGTGCTCACACCAGTTCCTCGTGCCACCGATCGTGCAGCCCTGCGGCTGTTGCAGCCCTGGGGTTTGGGGTTTGAAGCCAGCGAGGACTCCATAGTCCCTCCTCCCGCCCCACCAAGGCACTGCTCACCAGCAAGAGTCCCCACTGGGCAGGTCAGGATGCCCAATGTGACCCCAAGACACCACTAACACAGAAACATCTAACTAGTGTACTGGCACTGTATGCAAAGGTGCTGGCTGCCTCACCTCCTACCCTCAAACAAGATAAACCAGAGAATGGAGAGATCAATTAAATCTGAAAAATGGGATCTTGTAGACAGGATCTTGGAAGGGACAATGTCACAGACCAGACCACTCAGCTGTGTTTATGTCCCTCTGAATAATGTCAATAACTGTATAATTACACCAGCATAATGACTGTCACCCCAATTACACAGTGTAGCTGATATTCAAGGAAAAGAAATGGTCTTCCGTAAAAAGATTGCTCTTCCAACCAACCATTGTGTTGGTTTGTTTTCTGCAAAAACTTACAAACGCTCTTGGTTGGGGGGGTGGAAGAATAAATCTGTCTCCAAATTCAAAGAGTCATGGAGGGGAGGATGTGCTCAGCCTCCCCTGCAGCCCCAGCACCGGACTGGCTGCACGGGGGGCACCAGCGGAGCTGCATCTCTCTGGGTACCAGGGAATGAGGTGCTGAATATCCAGGGCTGCTGAGGAGTAACTGAGTAACACGGCTTCATTGTGCAGGTGCATTAAAATAATAACAATAACAACAATAACAACAACAACAACAACAATGATGATGATAATGTTGGTGGTGATGATGATGATAATAATAACAATAATAAAATAATAATAAAATAATAAAATAAATAATAATAATAATAATAATAATAATGATAATAATAAAATACACTACTGATGCAGCAGAGATTAGTGAGATTAAATCTGCACCCTAATAAACTATGATATTATCTGCACCCAGACAAAATATGCACCCAAGTAAATTATGATATTATCTTCCTTTTTAAGTAGAGAGGAAAGTGCTGTGAACCCTGTTTCTGTAGCACCGCAAGGCAAAGTGATAGGATTAATGCCACCCCATACAGCCACTGGCAGTCAGGGGTGGACGGCAGATCTTGCATCATGTGTTCCCCAGACCAGATGCTGCCCACTATGATAAAAGTAGTTTATTTTCTCAATGTATGCTGAAAGCTAATGCAGATATCCACAACGTGTTGCTGTACCCAATGTATAGTGAAAGATTAATCTGCTGGTTTGGGATAGTAGAGTAATTGAAAACTCAAATATTTTATACATATTAATGTCTTTGCTTTGCCATTATCATTCTGTATCAACAATCCTCTTTAATCCTTATCTTGTCATTGGCTAAAAGTAGAGCTGCCTCCAAGAAAGATTATATGATTTTTAAGGCCATCAAAGAGAGAAACTAGATACTTGTCCCCATCAGAGCATCTGTTTCATAAATCATTCAGGCCTCTAGTTATCTGTGAATGTCTTACCTTTGCCTAGCACATGTATTTTTCATCAGCTTTGAATAATGGCTGTCTGTAGGACTGGATGATGGGGATGTCTTCCTGCTCCTGCAGCTGGGCCTGCTTTACAGAAATCAAGTTCCAAAGAGTCCCATTGCAAAGCACTGCCAGCATCGTGCCTGCAAGTTAAACAGTGAATGGAATCCAAAAGTCCTCCAATACCAAGAAAAGAAGCACCACCAAATTCAGCTTAACGATTCAATAATTCTATGTTTGTGCTGTGTAAAAACTGCACTTACAGTAAGAGCAGCGACCTCATAACGTTTTTATAAATTATTAATTCCTCTCTATACTGAACTGATTGCAAATTTGAATCAATTATTATCTTCTAAATACAGAATAGTAGTTGATAACTAAATAATTACTACCTGTTTGCACAATGATAATAACGGCCCTAACTCATTAAACCTTACAAGCTGAACTGGGGTCTTTGGGGCAGGGGCTTAATCAGTGTTAAACATGCAGGGGCAGTGCATCCTTCCAGCAGGAACAGCCAGAACAGGCTAATATTTGGAGAATTTATGACTAAGTCCATCTATTCCTTTTAAATAAAAGCTAATGGTTGTTTTAAGACAACAATGTGTCAGGGTCAGGTTTTTATTGAAAAGTATCCTGACATAGTAAGTACACAAGAGGTTTGGAAAGTATTAAAGTCCACTGAAATCTCCTCCCAAATAGTTACAGTTAAATACTTCTCTTTGCTTTTATTTTCTTCTCCTACAAAGTCAGATTTGCAACTGTTCTTCAGAATGAGACTTACATGTAACATTTTAAAGTGTTAAAATATTTTAAGTTGTCTATATAAGATGGCTCCAAACTCCTCTTGCATGGGTATGAATGAAAGCAGGGATGATCAGCACCATGCTTGTGCCTGGATGTGCATGGCAATAACCCAGGATAGGTGTTTGGAGATTGCACAGTCGGAGCAGGGAGAGGTGTAGCCTTGTGTGAGCTCTCCTGTGGCATCTTGCTCTATGATGAGGCTGAGCAACGCTGCTCCAGGATCCCACGCAACAGCTATAACCATCCCTGACCTCCTTGTGCCCCACCATGCTTAGGAGAAACCCAAACACCGTCCTCTGGCAGGTCTCACTGTAACCACCTTTCCCTGGCAAACCCCAGGGCTACGATGGTTTCTGCAGCCAAAAGCACTGGGAGCTTGTCAGAATATTGATACCACAAATAAAACATCTGATAAAAATCCCAGGAAAAATGTCAAAAATCATATTATGGTGTTGGATGGGGAAGAAGAAGTATCTACCAACATCAAAGCTACTGTAGGGAAACAGGGCTCCAAGGACCACACCGCCAGTTGTTGCCCAGTTCTGCTCCCTGTGCATGAATTCCCCCCCGAGTTTGATTTTGTGTGTTGCAGGGCTGCAGCTGGCCATGCCAGAGGGTCCCACATCAGAGGCACACACCTGTGAGAATACTTTTTTACAACAGCATTAAGCGTCTGGATAGCTTGAACTGTGTGGGTTTCTGTTTTGTTTTGTTTTGTTTTGCTTTGTTTTTAATAAATCCATCACAGCTTAATTTTAATGGGAAAATGGGCTGCCAAACGACTGGGGAGGGAGGGTCACCATGAACCCCCCATGTGGTCTCTAGGCTCCTGATGCTGGCTACAGCCCTGGGAACCTCCTGGCACCTCCAGACAGGTGGGACCAAGGCAGTCTGACTTTTTACCCTTTCCAAGCGCATTTTCCTTATGTTGTGTCACGTCTTTCTAAACAGGCGTTTGCTACGCTGAGTTTGGTGTGCGGGTCCCCAAGACCACGGGCTCCGCCTACACCTACAGCTACGTGACGGTGGGGGAGTTCGTGGCGTTTTTCATCGGCTGGAACCTCATCCTGGAGTACCTGATCGGCACGGCCGCGGGCGCCAGCGCCCTCAGCAGCATGTTCGACTCGTTGGCCAACCACACCATCAGCCGTTGGATGATCAACACTGTCGGGACGTTGAACGGACTGGGTGCGTCATGCCGTCCATAGCTACCTGCATTAATTAGGGCCTGAAAAGTAATTGGAAGCTCGTCAAAAAGTCAGACATGGATATTAGGCTTCATTCATTATTCACCATCTGTCTGCCTCTGGTACTTTGCCCTTGCAGTCTGGTTCACAGGCGGGATTCGGGGGGATGGGATACATGATATTTTGAGGCCCTTTGGGATGAGCTGGCATTTAGCAGAACAAGCACGGTCCTGTTAAGGCCCACACAGAGCCCTGTTAGAGAGCACAAGCTGGTGTCTGCAGTGCTGCCATGTAGAAACTCAGGGCTATGATGGTCCTGTATGACCAGCAGTTCCAGGGTCCTACCAGTAAGTAAAACAGCTAGCTGTCCTGTACCTGTGTCATGAAAACTTGATGTTTGATTGATTCTTAATTAGTATTTGGCAGCCACGTTATGCAAACTGGGACCTGATCATCCGTTTGCTGACCTCACAAAACTCCTAACAGTGACTTGAGGCATTGAGATTTATCATCTTAATAAAACAACTTTAGCTAGCAGAGGCAGGGGCATCTGGAGACCACCTTTGCAACGAGACCAAGGAGTTCTGCAAAGCCTCAGGGTCTGAAAAATGTTTTAAAAAGCCCCCACAGAGTTTCTGGAGATGCTGTTCACAGCTATGGATGGGGAGTTACACACCTCTTTTCTCTCACCCAGGGAAAGGAGAAGAGTCGTACCCTGACCTTCTTGCTCTGGTCATTGCTGTCATTGTCACCATCATCGTGGCCATGGGGGTGAAGAACTCAGTGGGGCTGAACAACGTGCTCAACGTCATTAACCTGGCAGTCTGGATCTTCATCATGATTGCTGGTCTCTTCTACATCAAAGGTGACAACTGGTCTGAAGGGAAATTCCTGCCATTTGGATGGCCGGGGGTAAGTCCTGGGTGCATGGAGGGATGCACAACACCTAAGCAGTGCCACTTACCTGCCACACACTCAGCTTTGCTCATGGCATGCGTACCCTACTTCCCTTGCACTCTCCAAATCTCAATCCTGCCAAACCCACCTGCGCTTTGGCCGAGGACCTCCAAATTCCACCACTGCAGGCTTTCACCCAGACGTCCTCGCTCCACCAAACCCAAAGGGTACGGGCAATGCTTGGCCCATATCTCCTGCCACCTCTTAGAATAAATGCAGAACTTTTCCAAAATGTCCTCCTGGAGAGCCAAACTCCATGTGGTAATATACATCAGGAAACACTGCTAATTGCCAGGTGGTGGAGCAAATAGCAGTGGCTGTCCGAGACAGGGCGCTCAGGAGGAGCTGGCTCAGCCTCTGTAGAGGGGGAGATACTTGTGCTGGCTGGTTTTCAACAACAATGTTCTCAAGCATTTGTTTTGAGCACTTCATAATGCCACCTGCTAGTACTTATTTTATGGATGTTCCCTCAAAGCTTACTGAGAATTTGGACATATTTGGCTTTTTTAGCTTGCTTGCACTGGTTTTTATCCAAGGATGAACAGAGACTGAAAATATCTCAGCTGGCCTAAACCCAATAAAATTTCTTAGATTTACACTGCTTGAGTCCATCGGGGTTTTGTGCAGAAAAATAAGCAAAAAAGTAAAGTAAACCAAGGATCTTGATTATTGAAAGAGTCCCAAGCTGCCATACAGTCCCTGCACCTCCCTTCAGTAAATCAATACCTCTCTGCCAGAGAACAACAGTGAGGAGAAGAGCACTGAGGCCCATCTGAGAGCAGAGGTCATATTTACCTTTGGCGTTTTATGCCATACAAGAGGAATGAAAAAGAGAAAATAGAAAATAGCTGTTTTGCTCCAATTCAATGCATCAAATGTCTCCTGACAAAACCCCATTATTTTAAAATATCCGAAACACATCAAAATCAATAGGGTCTTCCCATAATTTTCGGCTTGTTGGTTGTCTCCCAAATTGTTTTTCAAAGTAAATCCACCATGGCACAAGCATGAGATCCCCAGGAGGACAGAGGATACTTTAAAAATGTACTTACAGGTTGTCCCCTGAAAGAAGTGAGTTTTACTGTGTGCTCTATCACTAGACAGCTGAGATGACAGCGATGTGATGGATATGTGGTACCCAGCTAGCTGGCTAGATGTATACGAGAGTTTTACAACTGCAAATTAGCTCGCTTGCAGCCACACAGTTTTTAGCCTGCTTTAGCATTTCTTCCCTATAAGTGTCCTTGCTAATATTGTATATTTTAAAAAATCACATTAAAAAAATAACTAAACAGTACAAATAATCCCTAATCCAAGTGCTCCAACATGTGCTCCTAACCTGTCTGCAGCTTCCAAGCAAAACAGAGGTTGTTTGGAAAGCGGCGCACATCTGACTGTTGCTGCTCTCTTCTGTGTCCTCTGCTAGCAGATTTTGCTGCCACATGAGACATCTTGCTAAGATGGAACGTGTAAACATGCTCCAGATCCCTACTAATATAAATGGATTTGGGGTGGAGGATTGTGAAAGCAAACCTGAATTCGGTTAATTGTCTCCTCTGTCGCTGCCAGGATCTCCCACAAGATTCGGGCACTGCATGGGCACAGGCTTGTGGTGCACCATGAGTGAGCTGCAGATGCCTCCTGTGACTCGAGCAGCATATTAAAATATTTTCCCTAGACCAGATCACTGGGTTATGTGTGCTCCCAGGGCCAGTCCTCATACGGGAATGCCCAGCTCTGTGTGTGCACCCCCTGACCTGTCCCCACTCACCCTTTAGCTCAGACAAGGCAGAATTGGGTTCCTTCATTTTTGCTCAGTTCCCTGTCCCTGGGTGGATGCCAGCCTCCCTCCTGGCACTCAGATGCTCGATCCTCCCTGCAGGTGCTCAAAGGGGCTGCGACGTGTTTCTATGCCTTCATCGGCTTCGACATCATTGCTACCACGGGAGAAGAGGCGAAGAGTCCCAACACCTCCATCCCCTACGCCATCACGGCCTCGCTCGTCACGTGTTTGACAGCATATGTGTCTGTAAGTACTAAGTATACATACATGAATGTACATAATTATATACATATGCATATATATATATATACACACACACACACACACAAAATATATACATATATATATATATAGCATGTCCCTTCTGGGCATCTGCACAGCTCCCCTCCCCGTGAGCTGGGGTGTCAGACAAGGGCCCTTTCTTCCCTTTCTTTGGTGGGGACAGAGACATCAGCTGTGTTTCCGTGTGACTGCAGTGCCCTGCCGAGGCTCCCCTCGGCCTCAGCCCGGTTTGTCCCCAGGCTCCTGCCACCCTGCTGAGATCCCTCTGCCAGCCGCAGGGAGATGGTGGCAGCCGTTTTATTTTTTCCCCTCGTGCTTCATCCCCACCCGCAGCTATTTTTGCATCCAGAAGTGCAGCAAAGCAGAAGAAGCAGCAGCAGCATTGCAGCAATCTTTCTCCGTGCTTTTGGGAAAAGCAGCACTGCCTCTGCTGGAGATATGGGAGAGGGTCCAAGTCAGGGTGAGGATGGGCAGGGATGGCCATGTGAGAGATAGCCAGCTGCTCTGCACCCCAATAAATGCATGTTTGTACTCAGGGATTTTCCCTGTAAAAGAGTAAAATTGAGTCACAAAGGAGAAAACATATTGTTCTGATCGTTTCAGAGACTCACCCACCGCCTCTCCTGCAGCATGGTGGGCTTCCTTCAAAACCAATTTCTCTTTGGCTCAAATAGAAGCAGAGCGTTGTCCCAAACAATGCCACCTTGGGTTTTGGGTCTGCCTCATGGGGAGTGCATGACCCAGGCAGTGCTGTCCCCACACAAGAATGTGGCCAATGTGAGTGTTACTAACCCCACTGAGTGCCACCAGCCTTGTGCACCATCACTACAGCAAGGTTCAAGGTGTCACCTTGTTGTCATCGGAGGCCTTACCTCTAGCGTTTTACAACCTCTCCACAGGGGATATAGGGATATAATCCCAGACTTGAAATTTTTTGGCTTTCCACCCTTGAGAAGCAGTCGCTGTGCCCTGCAAGTCCCCAGCTGACACCTGTGTCCTGTTCTTCTCGTCTTCCCCAGGTGAGCATCATCCTCACGCTAATGATGCCCTACGACGCCATCGACACCGAGTCCCCGCTGATGGAGATGTTTGTGGCCCATGGCTTCTATGCAGCCAAGTTCATCGTGGCCATTGGGTCTGTGGCTGGCCTGACCGTCAGCTTGCTGGGCTCCCTCTTCCCAATGCCAAGGGTCATTTACGCCATGGCTGGAGATGGGCTGCTCTTCAGGTCAGTCATGTCCATGCTGATATTTGCTTTTTTCCCCCTTGGGACCCAGAAGGGAAGTGTTCTGGGAGGGATGGGGACTGTCCTGCACCCTGGCAGCCCGGTGCCATCACTACAGGGAGCACTGAGCATGCACTGACTCGGTGCTTGCACACACCAAAGCAAAGTCCCAGGGAAAATAAATAAGGAGAGATCTACGCAAAAGTTTCTCATTTGATGGTGGTACCTAGAGATTCAGCTTATGGGAGGATGAGCATTTAATTCAAGAGTTACTTGCAAAGGAGAGCAGCTTATATGCATAAAATCTTGGCACTTATTTGCACGTGTCCAAGCGCCCATTTCAGAACTGGTTAGACTTAGATTTAACTCCAGATCCAGTCTCAGCAGTATTTCCAGTCCCCAGCTATCTGGAGTCTAAGGACCAAAAAACAAGAACTGAAGGGATCACAGCTCTGAGCCTGGCCCCTCCAGCTGAGTAAGAGTTATTGCAACAGGGAACCACTGCCATGTGCAATTTTAACCCTCTGCAACTCCTTTGCACACCAGATTTTTGTCCCACGTCAGTTCTTACACGGAAACTCCCGTAGTGGCTTGTATCGTCTCTGGATTCCTCGCAGCACTGCTCTCCTTGCTGGTCAGCTTGAGGGACCTGATAGAAATGATGTCCATCGGCACGCTGCTCGCCTACACTCTGGTCTCTGTCTGTGTCCTGCTCCTCCGATACCAGCCTGAGAGTGACATTGATGGTTTCGTCAAATTCCTCTCTGAAGAACACACCAAGAAGAAGGAGGGCATCCTGGCTGATTGCGAGAAGGAAGCTTGCTCCCCAGGGAGTGAAGGAGAAGAGTTTGCTGGCCCACCGACCAACACGTGCGGGGCAAAAAATCTGCCGTCGCTGGGGGATAACGAGATGCTAATTGGGAAATCTGATAAATCCACCTACAATGTGAATCACCCCAATTACGGCACGGTTGACATGACCTCAGGGATAGAGGCAGATGAGTCAGAGAACATCTACCTCATCAAGTTGAAGAAGTTGATCGGCCCTCGCTACTACACGATGAGGATCCACCTTGGACTGCCGGGGAAAATGGACCGCCCCACGGTAGCCACCGGCCACACAGTGACCACCTGCGTGATCCTCCTCTTTGTCCTGATGGTCATCTTCTGCTCCTTCATCATTTTTGGGTCGGACTACATCTACAAGCAGAGCTGGTGGGCCGTCCTCCTTGTCGTGCTGATGATCCTGCTCATCGTCGTGCTGGTGTTTGTGATCTTGCAACAGCCAGAAAACCCCAAGAAACTGCCCTACATGGCACCTTGTCTCCCCTTCGTCCCTGCCTTTGCTATGCTGGTGAATATCTATCTCATGCTGAAGCTCTCCACAGTCACGTGGATCCGATTTGCCGTCTGGTGTTTTGTGGGTGAGTCCCAGGTTCATTTATTTTAATTTTTTAACTGGCAGTCTTTTGAAAAGATGTTAATAATAACTTTCCTCATTAGAGTGCTTAGACTGATGCTTCTTCAGCTGGGACATACCCAGTCATTTGCATTTGCCCCTTGTCATCCTGAAGTTCTTAGAAACCTCAGTTAATCAAGCTCCCGAACCACAGCTAAATGGAAAATTACACCTCCAGAAAATGTCAGTTTGATGGAAGTAAACTGCTCCATGCAAAGGTGACTGTTTTGATGAGTCCTTTGATGCAAAGTAGGTGGGTTCTGGAAATTGCCTTGCAGGCAGGTTTCCTACAGAAATCTGCCTGCTTTCTTTCTATTTCACCCACGTGAGCTCTTCAGCAGCCCACACCAAAATTTCAGCACTGCATTTCCAAAGCCCGGAGCCACCTGACCCCAACAGCCCTGGGAGAGACAGAGCCAAGATACCTGTGGAAATGCATCTCCTTTTCTTGCTCTAAGTCCTTAATTTTGTGGCAGGGGGATCTCAGGACTCACAGGCTCTGTTGTGGACCTTTTTTTGCCAAATTTAGGCCTCCCAGCACATAGCTGGGAGCCTAACATGTCCATAGTTTCTCTTACTTCACATTGCAACCCACTTACTCCACTAACCAAAGACAAAAAGAGCACCTCTCATAGATCCTCCTAAAGGCTCCAGATTCTGGACTATAGTGAACAGAACAAGACAATATCAAAGCCAAGGACTCTTTACAGAGGAATAATAACCCTATGGGTAAGCGTATATATCGCAGCAGCTCACAGGAGCCCCGGATAAGAGACCCTGAGCACGATGCCAGCACCGAAAAGGACCATCCCTGGCCAAGTATCCAACCACCAGCCCTCCCCTTTTGGAGGAGAGTTCAGGGTCTTGGGTTGAGAGAGAGAAAGTGGCGGGGAAAGAGAATGAGGATTGATGCAAAGGTCATGGGTCAGCTGCCACCTCCTGTAAAGGCAGAATCACTTCTCCTGGAGAAGGTGGGGGGCAGGCACTGGCCACCTCACCAGGCTCACCAGCCTTTGTGCTTCTCTCAGCTGCCTCCTGACATCTGTAGACATTTGAGCTCAGTTGGCAGAGCCAGGAGATGACATGTACAGACCCTGGATCTCCCTTGGGTGTCTCAGAGTTTAGGGTAGCCTCGGGGCTTACACCCTTTTAAGGGAGACTGCTACCACATTTTTGCTCCATTTTGCCATTCCCTCTTTTGCTTTAGGGTGAGGACTGCAGTTATCCTGAGTCAGTCCTGCATGACTGAGGTGCCATAGCAAAGCTCCATCTCTGAGACTCCGCTTACCCCAAGCCAAGCTGGTGGGCAGTAGCTGCCACGTGCACTCTTTGGGCTGGAGAAGAAGTGCTCGGTGCTTTTTTGGCCCTCAAAAGCAATAGGTGAAGCTGCAAATCCAGGGCAAACCCTTCTACCTAGAAGCAAAGATGACTCCAAAGCATCAATTTAATCTGCTGTGATTAAATACTTTCCCCTGTGAGTTCATCTAATATCTCTTCAGCTGTCGGCAATGGCAACAAGTCAATTAAGCCATAATTAAGGTGTGATGGATTCCACCAGCCTTATCCATGGCTGCTTGCCTGTTGGGGGAGACACATCCCATTTGTTTTTCTAGTAGAGATGTGTGGTCCTGCCACACAGGCTCTGGATTTAAGCACACAAGCAGTCCTCTGTGGCCAGTCCACAGCATGTGGAGAAGACTGGCTTTCTCTACACATACATCTGGGGTAGGTTAATCCCAGAATCTACTGGAAATTAGATCTCCAGGTACATTTGCTTCTGGGGCAAGCATTGGTGCAGGAAGGTGAGATCAGGTAGATCTGGATGGAGGAGATGAAATGAAGCTCCTGAGGGGAGGAAGACAGGATTTCCGAGCTGTTTTAATACTGAATACACTCATCCTGACAACCCTGGAGCACACGTGGCTGTGAGCACCAGCAGGAGAGACCGGGAGCATGAGAAAACTCCAGAGAGAAGAGGGTAGCTGGAAGGGTAACAGGGTGGAGATGCGGGTTATTGGCACTTGGGAGCCTCCACATGTCTGCTGGGAGCTGCTATCCCACCGAAGCTGCAGATGGCACAAACACGTGGCCAGCAGCCATCCCAGCTGATGTTTAAAACATACAGCCCTCAGGTCACATCTGGCAGCCCGAAAACACAAACTCAACAGCTTCAAAGAGCAGACATCAACTACAACATACACTAGCTCAAAAAATACAGGCATATTTACTTACATTTAACTCCCATCAGCTGGAGCCAGCCCGGCGCTGGGTGGGAGGAGAGTGGCGTGAGCTGGGCTGGATCCCCAACTCACCCCTGATGTGGGTTTTGGGGGGCAGGTGCCATTTGGGGGCATGCCATGTTTATAGTGATGTTTTCTCTGGGAGTATGGGGCCAGTGCGGGTGGCTGGGGTCCAACCCTCTCCCTCTCCCCCGCCACAGGTATGCTCATCTACTTTGGCTACGGGATGTGGAACAGCACACTGGAGATCAGCGCCCGGGAGGAGGCCCTCCACCAGAGCACCTACCAGAGCTACGACGTGGACGTCGACCCCTTCTCCGTGGACGACAGCTTCTCCTACGCCACTGAGGGTGAGGACTACCCGGGCTGGGGTCCCTCCGAGGACAAGGGCTTCTCGTACCAGCAAATGGCAGAAGAAAAGGAAAGCCATCGGACGAGTAGCAGGTCGAAAAGCAAAGGCAGGCACAAACCGCCGTCGGAGGCTCTCATCGCCAACGACGAGTTGGACTACTCACCCGAGTAGCGGGGCGGGCAGCGGGGCACCGCACCACGCAGCCGATGAGGAAGGGTCCCCACGGCTCCCCCGTCCTGCCCCATCCTCCCCGGGTCCTCCACCACCACCCCGCTCACCTCCGGTCCTCGGGACACGCTCTGCGATTGCCGTTGACCCCGAACCAAACACCCTCGTGGCCCGTCCCGGCTCCACCAGTCGGGTCTCGCTCTGGTGAATGCTGGCTGATCCCCCGGCACCAGTTGATCTCCTGACACCAGCCGCACCGGTGGAGGCGGTGGAGTGGGAGATGTGCCAAACTGGGAGGGCGTTGAGAGGTGGAAGGAGCTGCATGAGGGGACGAGTGGAGCTGTCCCTGGGGAATGTCCACCCAACGGCCACAGCAGTGGGATGCCACTCTTACATTTTTGGCACTTTCTTAGAACGTGTGGTTTGTTTTTTTTTTTTTTTCTTTGAACCACCTAGAAGTAAAAGCTGAGCCAGAGGGACAGACGGGTAGGTAGGTACGAAATGGAGATGGACAAACCCCTTTCAAGGCAGTAGCTCAGACGTGGATCCAGGGATGTTGGTCCCATCACACAACATTTCCATGGCCTGTCCTCACACAGAGGCATTCGGTACACCCAGCAGCGCTACCCCTGTGGCCATCCCCACACCCTAATCCAAGCGTCCCAAATACTGTGATTTAAAATTAGTCCATGTCTCAATCAAACCTTCAAGTCCCAGCACGGCCAAACATCCCAAATCTGCGATTGGGAGCCCGGTCCCATTTCTGGTCACAGCGAGGCCTGTGATCCGCTCTTGGCTCAACCCGCCCTGTGCGAATGGTCAACGAGGACCACACGCCTTTTCTCTGAGCATCACTGGTCTGAAGCTGGGCGCTGTTTCCACCATGTTGTGTCTTTTACAAAAATGACTGCGCCGTAATTCCCTCACTGCGGCGGGCACATTTCAGCACTCGCTCTGGCCTCGGTGCTTCAGGGACGCGTCCGTGCCCCTGCAAAATAGCAAAGTCCGTGGGTCAGGCAGGGCTGGGCCATGCACAGCAAGCGGAGAGGACTTGGCTGCTGAAACCTCCCCGCTGCCACCTCCACCTTGTACCATTTTATCTGTTTCTGACCCTGGCTTGGTGGATGCTGTATGGAAAAACACTGAAACGCTGCTTGTTTTGTAGGTGTCCGTATTTCAGTTTGAAACCAAACGGAGCTGGTGGCTCGCAGGGCAGAGGTGGTCAGCAGGGGGGTGTTTCTCATAGTTAAACTCTCCGATACAGCCCGAGCAAGGCCATGACCCCCAGCAGTGCCATCAGGCATCCCCGCAGCACCGTCGGCGGTGATGGGGTTTGGTGGCAGCCACCATCTCCCCCAGCACAGACAGCAGCTGCGCTGCTGAGTCAGCAATTAGCACCAGGTCCAGTTCTGGAGCCCGTCACCGACGTGCTCAGTTTAAAACACTGCAACAGAGGAACATCTTTTTGAATAAATGATAACCAAGGAAGCACTCCAGCAGACAGACACCCATCCTCCTCCCAGCTGCTGAAGGCTGCGGCTGGATCCATCCCTGGGGCTCCCCTGGAGCAACCCAGACCAACCCCCAGCACCAGAGGCTGCTGCTGGCATCCCACGGGATAAAGTAACATCAACAGGGGCACAAGGCAGGATTTCCAACATGTGATGCTGAGAACCATTAACAGTTTGGTTTACTGCATGAGGCTCGGCCCCCCCAAAACCCAGCACGGAGCCTGCCTGGCACCCTTTGCAGGCAAGTGGGCTGATGGGTGCAGAGGGTGCCTGGACCCGCACCCATCCCCATCACTGCCAGAGCTCAGTGAAAAAGCTCTGCCCATGGCTGCAAAAATTTCCTTGTAGCTCCTGTCCCAAACAAACTATAGTATTTTCCTCAGTGGAGAAGAGCATCCGATTCCGCAGATCTTAACCCAGAGTGCCCAGGGCAAGCCACGAGAAGTTTGGCCTCTGCAAGTGCTCCAGGATGGGAGCAAGGATTTGGCAAAAGGACCTGTAAGCTTTGCTCTGGCAACACCTCCAGCTGCCCACCTCTACCAAGCTTCTACAAGCAGAAAACCCAAGCGTGTCCCACAGAAAAGCTGTTTGCAACGTGCGCGCCCCTCACGGGCCGGCTCGGGAAACCTTCCAGGCAGTGCCGAGCGCGTCTTGCAAAGTTCACCTCTCACTCGCTCTTGGCTGCTCTCATCCTCAATGCCTTAGAAGTTACCCGAGAGAGATGGCACCTCGCAGGTCTGGCTTTATATTTTCAGGGAGAAAGATTGATGCTATTTTCCAACCAGCTCTTGTACTGTACCATACCCAAGGCAGTCGTCCTCATCCTGCTTCCACACGGTATTTAGGCATCTGCTGAACTGCAAACTCACGCCCAAGTACCCTGTCGAATCGAAGCCTGTTATTCCTTTTGCAGCCTTAATCTCTTGCTACAGAGCAGTTACCAGTACCAGTATCTGTTGTCACGTCTGCTCTAATTATGCCGTATAATTTGACGAGGGCTTGATCTTTTGACCTTGGGTGTCTGTAGGAACCTCTCCGTTGGATCCATGCTTTGAATGGAAGCCCTTCAGCTGCTCTTGGTCGCGTTCACCCATCCTCCTCCCCCTTCCCGGGGAAGTGCGGGGCCGGATGGTCACTCCGTGTCCCCGGGACTGTCAGGAAACAGCATCCGATGCCACGGCACCGTGTGATGCGGATGGGCTGCCGTCAGCCCTTGCCGTGTCGGGAGGTGGGAGCTGTACCCCCCCCCGAGCCCACCTCATCCCACCTAACGGGGGTGCGTAAGGAGAAGGCGGCTGAGCCCCGGGTTGGGTCTTGCCTGGGTTTGCCGGCGGCCAAGCAGCCGATGCCCAGGGAGGCTGGTTTGCAGGGGGGTTCCCCCACCCTGCTTTGGGTGGCAGAGCCTAGGGGACACGCGGGTCCTGCCCCCGTTTGGGAGCTCATGTGCTTTCCGTTGTAGCAGGCACCGGGGGCGCAAGCAAAAGCTGCAAAGGCCAAACCATTCCAGAGTATCCATCGCCTCTGGACACCGCTGGCCCCCGGGGGTGGTTTCAGATGCTGGGAGGAGGTTCAAGTGCTTGTTTGGCGGTAACCCCAAACCCCAGCCTTTCCCCCTGGGTGCCCTCAGGGAGGCTCTCACAGCCTTGACCCATCGGGAGGGCACAGGCAGAGCGGTACCACCCCACTCCCACCGCCACCCTCCACGGGGCACGCACCCCGGGGGGCCCCACGCATGATGCAGACGGAGCATAAATACCTCAAATCTTCCAGACCAACTCTGCAAGATTTCAGTCACTCCACAAATTCACTCGGGCACAGTCACGACCACTCGGTTACAAGGCCCAGCACGCCGGCATCCTCCACGCGGCAGAGAAATCACGCCCCGAAAGACAAGGGATATTGTAAATCCAGCTTGTAAATGATCTTCACTTTGTTTTGTTCAGTCTTTCAGATGTATATCTTGCTTTTTTTGCAGATGGTACTTTCTGGTGTAACAATTCTCTGCAGTTCTGGTATGAAATTGATGTATTTGTTAAAAAAAGTTTGTTCTATTAATTTTTTTTTTTTTTTTTTGTGGTTTCCAAAAAGCCCGTTGGTGCATTGTACAATGGGATCTTGTAGTGTGTCATGAGAAAGAAAAAAATATGCAGATATGTTATGGAGTGATTTTTATTTTCAAATGATTGTGTTGTTGACAACTATACATATAATATATATATTATCAAGATACTAAGGAAAAAAAAAATCTAAATTTACCAAAATCTGTATATTTTAATAAATGCATAAAGCTTTATTGTGTGCCTTTATGTTTAAAGATCAAACAGGAGCTAGGGGATTTTTAAAGAAAGCCAGAGACAAATGTGTCTTAGTATGTAAATCTTTTAAATGAAAGACTAAACAAAAAACCAACCAACCAAACAAACAAAATTCCCATATAAATTTTAAGCCAATCAGTACCTGAAGGTCTGATACTTTTTCAATGTTAAATTGAAGCTAGAGATGAACAAATCTTGCCTTAAGTACTTCAAAATTTCCTTTGTAGAAGATCCGTTTCAGTGGGCTGACTGGTATTTTACTTGCACTGTTGTGAAAAAAAAAAATGGTTATCAGTTTACAAAATAAAATAAAATAAAATAAAATTAAAAAAAAAAAGAAAAAACCTAGAGCCAATGGCCGCAGGTTGACTATTGCAGTGTGAAGCCCCGGGGAGCACCAACGTCTTCTCGTCTGCTCATGGTGCTGCCAGCACCCACCTTTCCCCAGGGTCACTGGGGTGTCACAGCACCGTCACCCCTCCCTGCCCAGGCACCAACAGGGCCACTGCTGCCTCCCCCCCTTCGGGGTGCTCGGGGACACCAGTGTCCCCCCATGGGGTCCCTCCTGTTCTTCGGGGAATGGGGAGGCTGCCGGGCGCCCGTGCCGGGGAGCTGTAGCTGGTCCTGGGGAGGGCTCGGCTGGAGCAGCGGGGACTATCACCTCCACGCCGGGGTCACCACCAGAGCTCACACCCACCACTCCGCAGCTGATATTAGGCAATGGCGTGGAGCAGTTTTTCCATTCAGGAAAATGATATTTGACTCCATCTCGAGGCTTCGGGTTAGCAAACGAGCACCAGAAGCCTTCAAGAGCCAACAGCGCTGCGGCCAACACGGCCGAGGAGAACACCACGGGGGAGCAGGGCATTTTGGGAGAGTGCAAAGCAGGTATTTCAGCTTTGATCCTTTAAAAACTTGCAGACTTTCACGTCCTTTGTGCTTCCTCCAAACACGTCCCCTCTGTGGTGCCAGCACTAATATCCTGTCCCATTCTTGGCCCCATCTCCTCGCACCCCACAGCTGCAGATGTCTGTTTCTCCGTGGCTCCTCTAGGGTTGTTTTTCTTTGTTTTTTTCTTCTTTTCCCCAAAATCAAGCTTCTTCAGGGTTGTTTAGCTTTGTTTTTTTTTCTTCTTTTCCCCAAAATAAACCTGCTTCAGGGTTGTTTAGCTTTGTTTTTTTTTCTTCTTTTCCCCAAAATAAACCTGCTTCAGGGTTGTTTAGCTTTGTTTTTTTTTCTTCTTTTCCCCAAAATAAACCTGCTTCAGGGTTGTTTAGCTTTGTTTTTTTTTCTTCTTTTCCCCAAAATAAAGCTTCTTCTTTCCTCTGAGCAGCTTGCCCAGTGCCTTTTAAGGGTTGGGTTTGGGCAGAGCAAGCAGAGCCCCAGCACCAGCCCCTGCCAAGGGTCTCCAGCCCCCCGTGCCTGAGGATGCCAAGATGCAGCCCAAGGGTGTGGGCAGCAAATAAAAAAACCAAACTCCTAAGTGCTGCCGGGCAGGGTTAATTTTCCATCGGGTCATGCACCGCTTCCTGGGCCCCTCCAGCAGCACTAACACCTTGCCAAAAAAACCCCCCCTCAGGCAGGTTTGCCCTGTGCTTTTCCCTCCCAGTTTGCTCGGGGGCTGTTTTCAGGGCAGCATTGCAGCAGCTTTCTGCTCTGAGGTCTCTCCCCCCCCCCTCCCAACCCCACCGCCCGTCGGTCCCGGGGGGTTAACCGGCTGACCCCCCGCTCGCAGCACAATCCACAATCCCCGGGGCAGCCTGCACAAGCTGGCACGTCTGTGCGGCACCCCTTCGCCCGTGGCACCCGCACATCAATGGCAGCACTTATAGCGTCTCTCCGGCGCGTACAACAACTGCCTGTGCCCTGCCTGTGATGTAATGGGCACAAGTGTCCTGCCGCCGGCCCCGCGCGGAGGGGGGCGAGGGGTGGGAGCTGCAGCGCCCTTGCCCGTGGGGCTGCGTCGCCCAGTTTGGATCCTCCAACTGAAGCAGACCAAGAGGAGAGCGCAGTCCCCAATCCATCAAGGTTTGGCTAGCAGCCTTGTTTTCAAATTCTTCTCCAACCCCAAGCAATTTGGTTGGTCCTCCCCTCCTCTGCGCGACACCTGCGCTCTCCCCCTCGTCCACACCTGAAGAGTGGCCATTCCTCTTTCCCTGTTCCTGAAGCCTGGCTTACACAAATTATTTGAACTGGGTTAACATCTCTGGGAACAGATGGGATCTCGTATCAAAGTAATTAAATTGCTACAGCCTCTGGTAAGGACAGAGTTAGATCTTGATCTTACATGGTTTTAATCAGAGCGATGACCCCAGATCAGACCCTTCTGTTAGTAGAGAGCACTTCCAGCAACATGACTTCTCAACTTCAGCATGCCCAAGCAGTGCCGGGGGTACATCTCCACCTTCCCAGTGGGTTTCTAAGTCTCCCCGATGTGCAGAGTAGCACGAGTTGGTACCACTGGTGCAAGCTGCTATCAGGAACATTGAAAGAATGAATTGATAAGACAGCAGTCAGTAATATGCAGGAAGATTGCTCATATTTTAAATATTCAAAAAAAAAACCAAAACCACAACCCAAAATGGTCACTGGAATTCCACAGCTGAGCAGGATCTCTCATCCCAAACTGCTATAGAAAACAAAATCTTCAAAATCATTGGGAAACCCCTGTCGTGGAAAACCTAGCTATGGAAACACACAGGAAGGAAGGAAAAAAAGAAGCCAGTGGTTGCAGGTACTGTTATTTATTGTACAGTATTTCACTGAAAGTACAAAGGCATCATCAGTATTCACCAGAATTGTATTGTAACAGGTACATTATACTGCGCGTTAAAATGTGCTACTTTAATGATGCAAGACAAAATGCAAATTTAGAGGAAGAAAGCAAGGAGTTTAAAAAAATGTAAAAATACATTTTTAGTAACTGATCTGTACAAAGAAAAATAAAAACAACTAACCAAAAAAAAAAAACCAAACCAAACCAGAGTGCGGGGATTAGAGCCCCCAAAGTCATTTAAAAATATATAAAAAGTCACTGTTATCTACCATGTCATTAGGACCTTTTGTTTCTGTTTCCTTCATACTGATGACTGGGGGGGTGGGGGAAATACTGTTACTAAAATGATCAAACTCATACAAAAGTATTTACAGAAAAAGGCAGAAAAAAATCCCCTACTCTTGTTCCAAAAGAGAAACATTTGCCTGGTTGGAGAGTACAGCCTTCCCTCCCTACCCTCGTGCCCAAACCGTGCCAAAGTGGTGACCTTGAACAGGGGAAAGCAAACAGTGACATGGTGGGAGAAGCTGTCAGAGTCCTTCTAACAATGGGAAAATGTCTCTGTCATTTCCGTTTTATTGCTTTAAACTCTCCTATAATCAGGGGAGCTGGAAAATAAAATAAAACCCCTAAAACCCACATGACGACCCCAAACCATTCGAGTCATCCTGGCCGCAAGAAGATGGGGCAGGTGGTCAGGACAAAATGGGAAGGACCAAGAGGTAGGGCTGGCTGGAGCTTTCTTTTCTAGAGAAGGGGGGGAGCAGATGGGGAGAATAACACTTCAAACTACCAGACATTTGCGCTGCTTTTCTAAATCTTCCCCTGGGAGCCTGACGGCAGTGTGCGTCAGTAGAAGCAAACCCAGGGCACACAAACCCACCAGCCAAAGCATCCGACGGCAGCCGTGGGATGTCCCCAGGACGCTCACACGTGAGCGCTCTTCGCGTGGGTAGGGGAGCTGGATCCCGAGGCGTAATAGAAGCGGTTTTCACCGAACGTCTGGGCATCCCCCGAGCAGCAGACGATGACGCAGCCGCCGAAGAGGCAGAGGGCAGAGCCGATCCAGCCCGTGTACAGGGAGTAGCCGAAGCTCATGATGGTGGTCTCGCGGTGGGCGCACACGGGAAACCAGATCGTCGCAACCACGCCGCACATGGCTGGGGAGAGAGGGAAAGGAAAGGTGACTCCAGCACGTAACCCCGCCGCGGGGACACAAAGCACGCCAAAGGGGAGAGGAGGCTCTGCAGGACGGGGGACAGAGAGGGAAGCCCACCCCTCCTCCCTTGCAGTCCCATGGTGGGACCCAGGAGCATCAGCATCGCGGCTCGGTCCAATAGATCTCTGAGCAGGAGACAGCGTGGGAGCCTCACGGGGAGAGAGATCAAGAGAGAACAGCTATCTCTCTCAGGCACCAACAAACAAGAAGGAAAAACCAACTGCTGCTCCACACTGTTGTATTTCTTACAAAGGAAACAGATTTGTTCCCTAAAAGTACCTTTAAGGGGGAAGAATGAAAGTAACCCCTGAAATTGATGCGCTGGAGAGCTGCAGAATTAGGAATAGGTTAGATGTGAAGCAAGACCACGAAAGCCACATGCATCAGTGAGACAGTAAAATAAGCGGCCCCCAGTCAACCAGTTTAAATCACTATTTCTGCATGAACTCAGCCCACATCAATCAACATCACTGCAGTTGCTCTACTGAATGGTCACATAAACACTAACAAAATATCCCAGCACTTAGCAAGACAGAGTAGGGTTTATAAAATAGAAGCAGAAAATGTGCAGGGACAAAATAAGCGGCAGTACAGCATTATTGTTGGGGTTTTTTATGGTGAAGGAAGTGTCTCACAACTCTGGAAAGCAGGTTCCACTTCCCCATGGAAAATTTCTCTGTATCAGGTGATGCGGACAAACCCAGCAAGGCTCTCCAGAAACCTACAGAATGGGATAAAAATGGGACTTCATCTGAAGGGAAAACAGGTATTTTACCTAGAGTAGAGTTCACAGTGGGTCAAAAAATGACTGAGGACTTAACGTTTTGCTTGAAATTCCACAGCTTCTTTCCATGAAAAGCAGGAAGGCTGCGGCGGCGGTGCTGCGAGGATTGCTAGGGAGGTGACGTGTG